TAGAACTTAAGAGTGAATAATACCTAAATTTAATTATAAAACTAAACAATACCTAAGTTTGATTATAACAACAGCTTAGCGACTTGGAGCTAACAGTTGATGTGGGATCTAGTAAAGACCTTGTTGTGGATACTGGAGTTACACAAACAAATTATTGGTTGACGTTTGTCAGAAATGCTGCCAATCAAGCAAAATTGTCAAATTGTGTGGTTTGTGCAGAGGCACGACCAGCATTAACAGTCCCATCACCCTTGAGTAATGTGTCAACTTTTTTCTGTATGTTCCAATTACATATTAATGAGAACCCATCAGTTAAGTGTAAATATTTAGAACATTTCTTTCCTATGTCTTCAAGAACAGATGCCCCTCCTGTCTTCAAGGCGGTGGAGGGCAATTACACTTGTTTGTCCAGGAGGGGGAGGCAGAGAAGCGTGGATGTTGGACGGCTGAATATGACATGGTGCAAACAGGTGATTGATGTATCCTTGTGGGATAATGCAACAACGTTAAATGTGTATAGGGCAGATATATTTTGGTACTGTGGCAATAATCGTTTGTTAAAAGTGTTACCAGCAGGTTGGAGTGAGCTGTGTGTGGAAGTGTCCCTCGTCACGCCAGTCAGGTTTGTAAATATCACAATAGATGAATTACAGGAACATCGGGCTCTCTTGGATAAGCAGGTTGTTAACTTGAATAGGGTTAAACGTGAGTTTGATAAATATGCAAACAGTCCAGTGTACATTGATGCAATTGGAGTACCAAGAGGTATTCCTACTGAGTTTAAATTGCTCGATCAGGTGGCAACTGGTTTTGAAAGTATTTTACCATGGATTACTTTGAATAAAAACGTGGATCGTTTAAATTTCATACATTTTTCTTTGCAMAGGCTTAATAATTTAACGAGGGATGCCTTTCATATTGCACACGAGCAATTAGCAGCAACATCTTTAATGGCTTATCAGAATCACATTGCATTAGACTATTTATTGTCAGAACAAGGCGGAGTCTGTTCATTTTTTGGGTCATCTTGTTGTACATTTATTCCTGGAAACACTGACACTGATGGGTCATTTACAAAGGCTGTTAAAGCCCTACGAACATTGTCTGTGGAGATGAATGATGTTTCAAAATTGGCCACGCAAACCGAGGGATGGTTTATTAAAGTTTTTGGAGGTTGGAAAAAGGTGATGTCGGCTGTGGTGATGCAATTAGTCATGGTGGTGTTAATACTGGGTTTTTGCTATTTCTGTGGCATTCCTGTTGCTAGAGTGTTGTGTTTAAAGGAGACATATCATGCTAAATGCACTTTTTTTGCATTTATAAACTATTTTTTGTGCAATTATAGTGTCTAGGAGTGTAGAAAACATTAATTTATTCTGTTCTGTTACCGCAAAGATATTTTT